ATCGTGGGGCCTGAACTCTGGGCCTGGGCGCTGTCCCTCAGCTCTTCAGCTCAAGGCTAGCGCTCTACCACTTGAGCCACAGCGCCACTTCCGGCTTTCTTCTTTTTCCTTATGTGGTGCTAGGGAATCGAACCCAGGGCCTCAGGCATGCAAGGCAAACGCTCTACCACTGAGCCACCTTCCCAGCCCCGATTCTTTATTTTTCTTTGTCAGTGGTGTGCTTTGACTGTTTTTAAGACTCAGTGGAGAGTGGCATTCTGTGGCTGGAGGCATGGCTCAAGTGGCAGAGCATCTGCCTGGTAGTAATCTCAAGGTCCTAAGTCCAAACCCTAGAGCTGCCTCCCTCAGCCAAAGAGAGGAACCCAAAGGCGTGACCCCACTGACCACCAAAACCCTACTTACCAAAACAAACACAAAGGGCTCCCTTGGCTCTCGCCTATAATCCTCACTACTCAGGAGGCTGAGGTCTGTGAATTGAGGTTTACAGCCAGCCTGCCAGGAAAATCCTTGAGACTCTTGTTTCTAATAAAAACTACTCAGAAAAAGCAAGTGGTGCTGTTGCTCAAGTGGTAGAGAGCACTAGCTTTGAGCAAAGAGGCTCAGGGACAGCGCCCGGCTCTGAGCTCAAGCCCCTGGACTGGCAGAAGAACACTGCCACTCTCTTTCTCTCTGAAGTACTAGGGCTTGAACTTGGAGCTCATGCTTATTCATCAGGCACTCTACACTCCTCTCCCCCCTTTGTTGTTGGTCTCGGGGCTTGAATTCAGGGCCTGGGCGCTGTCCCTAGCTCTTTTGCTGAAGGCTAGCGCTCTACCACTTTAAGCCACAGCGGACTTTCCTGCCCAGGTTGGCCTTGAACTGCCATTCTCAGATCTCAGCCTCCCGAGTAGCTAAGACTGTAGGTGTGAGCCACCAGTGCCAGCCTCCCTTTTTATTTTTTTCAGAATACCATGTTTTTTGGCCTGGGCTGGGACTACAGGCATAAAGAGCATGCCACATTTTTGTTCAGATGGAATCTTACTTTTTGCACGGCTAGCCTTGACAGGATCCTCCCTATATCAGCCTCCAGCCTGGGATTACCTGTGAGCTAGTGTCCAGCCGGTCATTAGAGGTCTTAAAATTAAATGTGGGGGCTGGGAAGGTGGCTCAGTGGTAGAACACTTGCCTTGCATGCCTGAGGCCCTGGGTTCGATTCTCCAGCATCACATAAGCAAAAAGAAAAAAAAAAGCTGGAAGTGGCGCTGTGGCTCAAGTGGTAGAGCGCTAGCCTTGAGCTGAGGGACAGCACCCAGGCCCAGAGTTCAGGCCCCACGACCGGACCCCCCCCCAAAAAAAAGTAATCCTCCACTCAAGTGCCTGGAGCGAGCTGTCAGCACAAGTCCACCATCCTCCCTGGCAAGCTAATGTTCATAGAGCCAACCCATTTCCACAGCTGCAGAGCAACGGAGCTCCTGACTGCAGTGAGACTCACAGGACACACTTGCTTCTGCTCCGAAGGACTCGGTGTGCTGATCACAGCAGCTGCTCAAGCAGCACAGGCCCCACCCCTGCCACGATGATGTCCACCTAGCTGCCCCGACCCGCTTACCACTGTGAACCATGTAGTGCAAAATCTGTTCGATCACTGATACCACATCGCTAGTATCTTCCAAAACAGGCAGGTAAGTACTCTCAGATGAAAACACCTCAAGCATTCTCATTGGAAGGGCGACATTCAAACTGTCATCATTGCAGTTTAGCAGCAGCCTGTAAAATGGAAAGTCCATACTTACTGCATATCCAAAGTTATCAGATTTCCCCAATTCCTCCTAGTCACCGAGCTCAGCATCTCAGCTATCCCGGTTTTTAATGCCAAGTCTCTCTGACAACAGGCACAACTCAAAGGCCAAGGGATCAAATACGTCCTCTAGACTTCCGAGTGTTTACCATGTCAAGTCACTGTCACTAATGGTACAGACATGGAAGGAAAACAGACGGAACACAGCCTTCCACCTAGAGCACAGCCTCACTCCGGCCAGCAGAGGCTCGGCTATCACTAGCTTAGTCTTCTGTGTTACAGAGGAGCATTCAATACCTTTTTTTGTACTGGTAATGAAGCTAGAACTCAGGGCCTAGGGCTGTCCCTGGACTTTTTTGCTCAAGGCCAGCGTTCTATCACTGGAAGAACAATTTCAGTTCTAGTTGTGTGCGTGTGTGTGCGTGGGCTTGAACTCTGGGCCTGGGTGCCGTCCCTCAGTTCTTCAGCTCCAGGCAAGTGCTCTACCACTTGAGCCACAGCACCACTTCCAGTTTTCTAGCGGTTTATTAGAGATAAGAGTCTCACAGCCTTACCAGCCCCAGCTGGTTTTGAACCGGCATCCTCAGATCTCAACCTCCTGATTAGGCCCCTGGCAGTTCCTGCTTTTTATTGATAAACTGAAGATAAGAGTCTTACAGACTTTCCTGCCTGTCTAGCTTCCAACTTCAATCCTTAGATGTCAGCTTCTGGAACAGCTAGGATCACAGGGGTGAGCCACTAGTGAGTATCTTCTCTTAACTGTAACCATACGACTGTTAACAGAATGCTCTGCACCCAACCAGTGGTCATACCCTGCAACTGACAGACTGTACCAGCCACCCAAGGTGCAAGCATAAGCACATGCCCCACCCTCGCCCTGGGGCTTCGAGGAGGCCACGGCTCCTGGCACGGTGAGGAAGCTTCACAGGTACCACACCCCCAAGCCCCCTACACTGTTGGACCGGTGTCCTCAGTGTGGAAGAGCCATGCATGGGGGGATAACTACACAAAACCATCACATTCCTAAGAAACATAATGACTCCCTGCTAGTCCCCACCTGACGCCCGGTAATGAAGTTTTAGACATTTAGCCTTCTAGTGGGCCTGCAGGTATGATCTATTTGCTTGGTTACAGGTCACAAGTGTTAAGTGTGCAACAGTCACCCAAGTGTTTTCCTTTTCAAAACTATGTGCCTGTATATGCTGCCCAATTTTGTTTTTGTTTTGTGCCAGTTCTGGGTCTTGAACTCAGAGCCTGAGTGCTGTCCCTGAGCTTTTTACTCAAGGATACGCTCCACCACTTGGGCCACAGTGCCATTTCCAGCTTTTTCTGAGTGGGTTTTTGGAGTTAAGAGTGTCTCCCAAGCTTTCCCGCCTGAGCTGGCTTTGAACCACAATCCTCAGATCTCAGACTTCCGAGTGGCTAGGATCACAGGCGAGAGCCAGCGGCGCCCGGCATGTTGCCCAATTTTTAACTGGGTTGTTAGCCACTTCACCTTGCTTTCTCGTCTCTTGGGCCCCATCCTACCCTCTTCCTTCTCATCCGGCATGTCTTCCTCCCCCGCTGAGGCCCCTCCCCAGGCCTGCTGTGAACAGTTCTCACCCACTGCCTTCAACTGCTCTGCCCTCCTCTGCACCAGCTCTCAACTCTCCACGCTATCTCCCTGCTGGTCCCTGAAAGCAGCAGCCTCACCCCTACGCCAAGGGGCCAGAGGGCTGCTCAGGGGAGCCTCCAGAGGCCTAGGCCAGGCCCACCTCAGTGCTACAGACAGAGAAGCCGAGTGGTGTGTGTGTCGCCTAGGGTTCCCACCCAGTACCATTACACAAGCTATTACTGCTCCTCAGAAACCAAAGGCTTCTGCCTAGAAGAGAATACAGCTGTCACGAGGAAAACCTTCATCTGAATAGATCACAGAGTTTCATCAGGCTCCGGAGCCCTAGCCACTTACTCCACTCTTGGCATCTGTGCTGACGACACTCCTGGGCCGTCAGCTCTGCCAGGGCCTGTCCTGGCCTCCTTTCTGTACGAGTCTTCCGTGGTGAAGAGAAAGGCCCTAGGACCAGCTTCTGTTGTCTTCCCTCTAGCTTGCTCAGCCCTTCCTTCCAGTCTCTAAGACTCCATTACTCCAGTGTTCAAACTGAGAACTCGCGTGCACACAGGCCTGGCCTCTCCGAGCTCCCAGCCGCGGTCCCACTTCCTGTCCGGCTCTGCCTGGCCTGACTCTGCTCTCCCTTCTTCACGGTCATGTCCAGTACACAAGACAGGATGGGTCCACTGACACTTGAACTGGAGGTGTGGGGAGGGCACTTTTAGGTGGAGAATTAAGACATCAAATGTACTGTGTGAGCTAGGCTACTACTGGCTACTCAGGAGGCTGAGATCTGAAGCCACCTGGGCGAGAAAGTCTGTGAGAGTCTTATCCCCAATTAACCACAAAAAAGCCAGAAGTGGAGCTGTGGCAGGTGCTAGAGTGCTAGCCCTGAACACAAAAGCTCAGAGCTCAAGGCATAGAACACACTGTGAAGAAAACGGGGAAATCTGAAAATGGGCTGAAACTTCAATCAAGCCCACCTCCATCCCAGGGACTGCCAATCTGCTCACTAGCTTCCGGGTATTAGTGAATACCACTTTTTATTTGCAAATGGCTGTACGGAGACCTGAACTCAGGCCTTCCCCTCTCACTCCGCTTTTCCTGCTCATAGCTGGAGTGCTACCACTTGAGCCACACCTCTAGTCCTGGATTTTTGAGGACTTGTCTGCCGAGGCCTGCTCCAAACCATGACCCTCAGACCTCACCACTTGAGTGGCTGGGACTGTAAGCGTGCCCAGCTTCACAGCGCTCTCAGAGGCCACCCACGCTCTGGCTGGAGCACATCTTTGAGAGGTGGACACAGAAGTACCTGGGGAGTGGTGTCGAACGTGGAAGGGCAGTGTCAGCGATGTGGGGAACTGCCAACTCTCTTCTGTGCTGCTTAAGCCTGTCATACTAAAAATTGACAGGATGGGGAGGAAAACTCAGGCTGTAGTACTGTACTCCAAACTCTATTTTTGCCTTGTTCTCCCTTCAGAATAAAGCTGAATCCTCTAAAGGGTGCATGGTGACGCTCACCACCCTCCAGCAGGCTCTGACCCCAGACGGAGCCAGCGCACCAAACCATGTGTCGTTCCTGCCCGCACCACCACCTCGTAAGACTGCCTGCCACATTTAAAAAAGTCAGCCACAGTTGGGCACTGGCAGCTCACGCCTATAATCCTAGCTACTCAGGAGGTTGAGATCTAAGATCATGGTTCAAAGCCAGCTCAGGCAGGAGACTTTATCTCCAATTAATCACTGAAAACCAGACGTGGTACTGTAGCTCAAGTGGTAGATCACTTACCTTGAGCTGAAGAACTGAGAAACAGCACCCAGGCCCAAAGGTCAAGCCCTAAGACCAACGACAAAAAAAAAAAGGCAACCACAGCTAGGTACCAGTGGCTCACCTCTGCAATCCTAGCTACTCAGAAGGCTGAGATTTGAGGATTGCAATTTGAAGCAAACTTGTGTAGGAAGACTCTTCCTGTGGCTCAAGTGGTCACCTTGACTGAAAAAGCTCAGGAACGGAACAGTGCCCCAGGGTGAGTTCAAGCCTCCCTCCACCCCCACCTCTCCACAGTCAGCCTTCTCCCAAATCTTGTATCTCCCTTTCCTCCTTTTTCATCTCCCAAACATGAATTCTGCCAGCACCAGAGATGACCAGCACATTCCATAAGCCGCGCAAACTCACCTGCAGCAGAGGCTCATCAACCTCTTGATCTGAAATAAGCATGTCAGCCTTTCTGATCCATCCAACTGCTTGACATACAGAGAGCTATGTTTAATCAAGTTCTGATACAGCCATATCTGGAACAGCAAAACAAAAAATACAACTTTGAACCCATTGCTAGTTTACAGAATACTAAAGAATCCAAAGTGGACTCTTACATGCAAACCTAATCAAAATCTGCTAAGAAAGTTCCTAGAGGGGCTGGGAGTGTGGCTCAGAGGTAGAGCGCTCACCTAGCATGCATGAAGCGCTGGGTTCCATTCCTCAGTATCACATAAACACAAAAAGCCAGAAATGGTGCTGTGGTTCAAGTGACAGAGAGCAAAAAGCAACTTAGGGAATGTCCGCCCTGAGTTCAAGCCCCAACACTGGCAAAAATTAAAACAAAAAACAAAAAAGAGAGAGAGAAAGAAAGTTCCTACAACAAGATTTTCTTAGCATTACTTTCCCCCATCTTAATAACCTTACCATTAGTTACTAAAATAGGGTACTAAAACAAAGCTTCATAAAGCTTGAAGCAATAAGTTCACCTGCAAAAAAAAATCAGCAATATATAATGCATATATTTCTTCCTTCTGTACATGTGTGGACTATACACACATCTCTAGCATCTTTTTCTTCTGTGTTTTCATTTCTAACCCCTTGCATGTTTTTTACTCTTGTTTTGATGCCAATCCTGGTGCTTGAACTCAGGGCCCTGGGCACATTCTCTTGAGCTTTTGTGCTCAAGGTTAGCACTCTCCTGCTTGAACCATGGCCCCATTTTGGCTTTTTGGTGCTTAAGTGGAAATAAGGTTTTTCTGCTAGGCTGGCTTAGAACCGCAATCCTGGGATCTGAGGCTCCTGAGTGGCTAGGATGACAGGCGTGAGCTATGGGCACCCGGCTTCCCTACACTTTTGATAAGAAAGGCATTCATGTGGCTCCACTACCCTCAACACAAGGAAGGGTCAAGTAGATGGACGGGTTGGCCAAGGGCTCTTCTCCCAGATGTCTAGCAGATGAGTTTTGTAAGGTCTCTTGTATTCAAGAGGCCTAACTTTATGTAGTATGGATGTGTCTGCCAAAAAAGGATCTGAAAACTCAAAACAAGGACTCTCTTCTGCTTTTCTAGTTTATAAAACAGACGGGTATTGTTTTAAAATTTTTTAAGACCCATTTCCAGTAAGACGGGAATATAAGATACCCTCGTTCCTACAGATAGTTACAAATGTGCTATACACATCCGTAACTTGCCTGTGCACACCATCTTTTTGAGATGTCTGAAGTGACCTGTATATTTTCTTGGAACCAACATGAAACGAATACACGTATGAAACATTGTGCATCTTCAAGTCTATACTATTTATTAACAAATGGAGAAGACGCACAATGATAATGCACCACAAAAAGCCAAAGGACAGGGCTGGGACGTAGCTCAGTGGCAAAGCACTTGCCTAGAAAGTACGGTGTCCTGATCCAATCCCCAAAATAAAGATGAAAAAAAAAAAAAAAAGCTAAAGACAAACTCTTGGAATCAGACCCTACTAGATTTTATAATCACGACAGTGCACTATTAGCACCCAAAACGTTACCGCCATTAAACCTCTGCTTTACTTCACTTTTTGCTGTTACCCAGTGGAAGGAGGCTGGCTTTCTCTGGTGCAAAGGACAGAACCCTTGCCTTGCAAACGCTACTCCACTCCTTCTCTTATCACTGAGCTGCATCTCCAGTCCCCCAGCTACTCTCACCCTGTCTCAATGCTCAACTGAAGATGTGGATGTATCAAAGACACAAAGAGTGAAATCAACAATAGGGAGATGTCAGGAAAGGAGAGTGTGAAACTGAAGAAAAGCTAAGGCTTCCCAGGATAACGGCAGGCCTGCAAGAACACACAAGCGGGGACAGAAAGCACTGGACAGCATGGACAGGTACACTGAGAATGGAGCACAGGGCTGCTGGAAGAAACCATGCATTAAAAAATGAGGCAGTTGGGCTGGGAAGGTGGCTCAGTGGTAGAGCGCGTGCCTTGCATGCCTAAGGCCCTGGGTTCGATTCTTCAGCACCACATAAGCAAAAAGAAAAAAGCTGGAAGTGGTGCTGTGGCTCAAGTGGTAGAGCACTAGCCTTGAGCTGAAGAGCTGAGGGACAGCGCCCAGGCCCAGAGTTCAAGCCCCACGACTGGACCCAAAAAAAAAAAAAAAATGAGGCAGTCATCAATAATTGGTGTTGGGAAAACTGGACATCCGTATGTAGAAAACTAAAATTGGATCCCTGTTTGTCACTTTGTACCAATATCTACTCAAAATGGAGACCTCAGGCCTGAAACTCTGAAAGTACTACAAGAATGTAGGAGAACCATTAGAAGTTATCGGCATAGGCAGGAACTTTCTTAAGAGCATCCCAGGGGCACAACAAATGAGAGCTGACAAACGAAATCACATCAAACTAAAGTTTCTGCATAGCAAAGGATACTAAGCTAGAAAGATAGCAACAGCAGGGGAGAAGATCATTACCAACTATATCTGACAAAATACACAAGGAGCTCAAGAAACTCTCCACACACATCCCAAAATCAATAATCCAATCAAGAAATGGGCAAAGGAGTAAATAAAGACTTCTCAAAAGAAAAAGAAAGAATGGTAAATAAACACATAAAGAAGTGCTCAATATCTCTGGCCAAAAAGGAAATGCGAATTAAAACAACACTGAGATGCCGCCTTACCCACTTAAAATGACCATTATCAAGAAAACTAACAATAACATGTTGGCGAAGAGGTGGCCACCGTTGGTGGGAATGTGAGCTAGTCTAACCACTGTGGAGAGATTCCTAAACATAGAATTTCCCTATGATCCAGCCATACCACTGCTGGGCACCCAGATCATCACAAGCCAGGATACCATAAAGACATTTGCGTGTCTATGCTCAGTACGACACTACTCACAACAGCTAAGCACAAATGTTCTACAATAGATGAGTGGATCCACAAATGGGGTACCTGTACACAGTGGAAGTCTACACAGCCATTAGAAAGAATCTATCATTTTGCGGGGAGATGGGTGTGCTAAGCCATCCCAGAGAGACAAATGGGCCAAGTTTTCTCCCACACATGGAAGCCAGATCTAAAATACAACTAAGCATGATGATATATCCAGGGCTCTATGCATTTATACACAAACAGAACTGACTAAAGGAGACATACGTAGGAGAGGCATCCAAAGGCTTAACTCCTCCGAACAACTCAAGTACTATTTATCAAAACAGGAAATAGAGATTTGTCTTGGGGGGGTGGGAAAAGGAAGAGCACAAGAATGAAGGAAGGAAAGGGGAGCAGATACAGTCATTGTATTTAATGTACACTATGCAACCTGTGGGTGGGGATGGAGAAACTAAACTCATAACCTGACTTTGGAATTATAACTCCTTAATAATAACCATTTAGCTGGGTGCCGGTGGCTCACACCTATAATCCTAGCCAACTCAGGAGGCTGATATCTGAGGATTGTGGTTTGAAGTCCCTGTGAGACTCTTATCTCCAATTAACCACTTAAAAACTGGAAGTAGCATTGTGGCTCAAAGTGGTAGAGTGCTACCCTTGAGCAAGAGAGCTCAGGGGTAGTGCCCAGGCCGAGTTCAAGACCATAACTCCCCAAAATAATAAAAAGTAAAAGAGTGAGGCAAGGATTGACTCCAGAAAAATGAAAGGCAAACCACATGTGAAAGACCTAAGAGCAACAGGTCTGTACTTAAAATAATCACAAGAAAACAAAGGCTGCATGTGAAAGCGCATGGTCCCATGTGATTATGTTTACACAGGATATCTTTGAAGAACCATCAAGGGTCACGTGATGGCTGCTTCTGAGTGGGAACCTGACCCTAAGGCAGGGGATTTCTTGGCATGACTACTCCTG